GTAGTGAGGCTCACGCCCCCCCCCCCCCCCCCCCCCAGCCCCGGATACTGTTTTCAAGGTGTACCTACCAATCATTAATGCAGTCTACTTGTACTAGGAGAAATTCAAGGCTACCTACCATGCTTCTCAAGCCCTGAGGTATCTGGATTGGGAGCCCTGCTGTCTTCTTGGTTACAAACCAAAAGCCACAAGTGTGAGCAGAAGTAAGGCCACCAAATCCATTCGTTTGTGGATTCAGAAACCCCAAATTGCTGCACTGTGCAGAGGAATAGCAGAAGTGATTGCACCCCTTGGGATGGAGTTATCACAAAGTGTGTTCCTGGTAGGATGGCATCCATGCTGTCTGATTTACCTGATGGCTGGGGATGAATTCCACCTTTGCTTCCCTTTCTAAACAAGCATATTCTAGGGCTTGGGTAAGAAAGGCTGAACTTCACCCAATCTGTGTATGTATTTTGTTCATCTATGCAATTAGTTGGACCTTGTTTTAGCTAGAGTTCTGAGTTTGATAGGAAGCAAGAGCAACTTTAACAAGGACTAGGTCAACTAGGGAAGGATAAATCTAATTATGCTGCAGGAGAGTCAGTATTTTTATATAAAATTACTGATCTTCATTTATGAAGGGTGCACAAGCTGCTGTTGATTGGCAATAACTTGGGGGCTGTCTGTTGTGTAGCTTCACCTTTAGATCTGAAGTACATTTGTTTGAAAAACTGCTTGTGGCTTGAAGGCCAGGTACAGTTTACCTTACTTACAAGTAGTTCCTTTCAAAATGATAGTGCTGCATCAATGAATAAGACTAACAATTTGTCATGAAACTGCAAACCTTTTGGGATAGCATCTTCATTCCCTTGTTACTGTTGTAAAGTGCTATGTACACCTATGACAAAATCAGGTCAGAGTTTTAGTGTAAGTTCTTATTCAGTTAATTTCTGACAACTTTATAGACATCCTGAATAACATATAGACTTAACAGTTTTTCATATATTACACATATTGCCAGCTGAAACAAATGAGACTTGTGTGTATGCTGTGCTGTAGACAGTTTGAATAACCTGCAGCTAGTAATATATTTGGTGAATTTTGTATCATTGTGATTTGTCTGTGAATTCTTCATTCCAAGTTATTTGCTGAGAAATGTAATATTTTAAGTGTTTGTTAGAAGGTGGTGCTGAATAGAGGTGGCTTGAATTTACCAAAAAATTTCCTTGAAATAATTTTCATGACATTTCATTAACATTTATATTCAAAACACATAAGCACATTATGAAACTTGAATAAAATTTTGTGTATTTGATTTCTATTGTGTGCTCTGGACAACCTCTTGAGCTCCTACTTCTCTACACCATTAAGAATCTCATTCTTCTATGTACTGTAGTAAAAAGTAGAGCCTACTCTCAAAAAGCTGCTTTTATCTTACTTTTTTTTGGTAAATAGTGCACTGAACAATGTTGAAGAAATATGCTGCTTATTGACACTTGTCACTCAATATATATTGCTATGCAAGACAATGGAGAGATCCACTGATACTAATGAAAAACATTGCCTTGCTATGAAATTAAAAGTTGAGAGACATTCATACTTTTCTCATGTATATTTAAGGTAGTTTCCCATACATCTCCCCTGTCTTACTTCATCTACAGATTCTACTTTATTTTAAAATTGGTTTATATCTTTTAGGGTTCCTTTAGGCAGTGGAAAGAAATGGGGTATCTTTTGAAATAATTTAATGGAATATCACTTGGTCGATAAATACATACTTCAGTGTGTGGATTTGTTTCTAAGGCTTATGAGACTTTGATGTTCTTACATGTCTAAATTCTGCTATTATACCATCAGTAAGCTGTTTGGGAATTGCATACATTATATAAAATATACATGTCAATACAGGTGTATAAGGTCAGTGCAAACGTATACTGCTCAGTTTATTAACAAACTTCTAAATACAGATGGTAGGGTGTTAAAAAAGGAATGAAAGTATGTTTGTAAGTCTTCATTTCTTAGGGTCTGAATCTTATCTCAGACAGAGGCTGGGGCATGAACTGTTAAGCAGCTCATAACAGTTTATTACTGTCCTTTTACATACAGATGCAGGAGCTGATATGTGTGAGAGAGGATAATATACAAAATCTGAGATTTGACTCTAGATCCTTTCAGTTGGTGTAATGTCCTTATGAAAAGAGCCTGAAGTCTGTAAACCAGTAGTCAAAACAAGAATGAAAAAACAGTCACTAAAAATCCTCTCACAATTAATATCCCACAGTTCAACCTGTAAATCAGCAGACCGCTTTGTCAAAAAATAACCAGACTAAACCAAAATTTCTTAACAAAATTTATTAAAAAAAAAAAAAAAAAAAAAAAAAAAAAGTATTTACATCCATAAAAATCTTAGCATCTAAGATGTTTCTTGCTGGACATGTCATTCCAAATTCTGTGCATTTCTTCTGGTGTTATCTGGTGCACTGTGATCACCCTGCGGTACCTGCACAAGCTGTAGGCCATTTTCCAGTGATTGAAGCCACTGTTTTGGAAAGGGTGAATGCCCAGCTTCCGAAGACAGAGTCCGACGTACACATCTTCAAGATGAAGAAGTCTGGTATGAAGGGAGGTTTTGTAAATCAGTTCTGCTACGTCAGCTGAAAAAATGTAGCCTGTACCTGAACAGAAGGGTGGGTAATTGCTGTCCGGATACAAATCTCTCGGCATGTACCACTTACTGCGAACATCTCTTATTGGCCCTCCATTTATAACGTAACCAGTGAAATACCTTCTCCTTGGTTTGGTGTTAGGTTTGAGCAGCTTATAAATAAGATTATCCATATTTACAAAAATATCACTGTCTGTCTTCATAACGTACTTTGCTTTTGAACAAAACGTTGCTACCCACCTCATCCCCATCAATGTTTTCAGAGTAAGGTTATGGTAAGAGTCAATAAAATCCTCCACAATAATGTCGTGAAAAATTTGGCTTTCTTGCTCTACCATTTGATTTAACACTGGATCTGCATTTTTTCCAAGAAGAAATAGTGTGGCGATTTTGATACCTTTAAAGTTGTTTTCATCTCCCCACGTTTCTCGAATGGCTTGCCTTGCATCAAACTCTTTGTGAGTTGTGCTGATAAGAATGACCAAGAAAGGGATGCTCTTCTCACATTTGTTGGGTTCATTGATAAGAAACTCAAAGGAATGTGGATTTATAGGTCGAGTTCTTATGTTGCCAAAGGAAACATTTTTTCTGGCTATGGATATGCTACTGAGCTGTCTGTGGCCAGTGTAGGAAGAAGTAGGACGAGTTATACTTAAATACCAGAGAGCGCTTGCCCAACAAACTACCGTCAAGACGTATAAGCATGACACCTTTGAAGCCATTGTTCCCCTAGCTCCTCTATTCCTCCATGCAATGAATAAATAGCCTTCGTGCCAGGAGTGCACCTATGTCCCAGGAAGGCAGCATGTTATTAATGAAACTTGAAAGTTCGATATAGGAAAGTAACTCTGTAATCATTCATGGATCTCAAATAGGAGCTATTAACCCTGATGATACTCAGCTTTTCTTCTTTTACTAGCAGTGGCTTCCATTTCTTGGAATTTTCTGTTATTTCTGAAAAACATGAAGAAAAATTTTCCATTGCTAGATCATAAAAGCCAAGGGCAAGAAAAATGAGCTTAAATATGACTGGCCATTAATAAGCTAAATGTCTTAATGCATTTCTTGGACATCCTATTTTTCTCTCATGAGTTACCAAAGTGCAAGATTGTGCAACTAGAGTATCGCAGTATAACTGAAGTCATGCTTTTATGATTGATAATTTCTCATAGATTATAATACATAAAAAGTTTAGCATGCACGGTATGTTGGCTATTTAGGTAATTTTAAAGGTACATGAAAATAATTTTCTGGTTCCTAGCATTTTTTTGCTTGCTAGCATTTTTTCTGGACAATCTTTCAAAATATGCCACGGAAAGCTTTAAAATTATTGTAAAAATGAAAAATCATGTACATTAACTTAGGATTAATAGCATCACTGGCAAATATACATACGGGTATCTGCACATCTCAGTTGCTCTAAATGTTGTTAATGTCAGTCCTGCTAACAAGAGCACACTTTGGTGGAAACCAGACAGAATTGGACTTGGTGAAGATATAGAAAAGAGATAATGTACATTGTCTTACCCATGTAAAGATCAGGGCCGGAGTAGACTTCATAAAAGTCTAGAAATAAATGAATATATTTCAGTTATTCTTGATGGCTTCCATCTCCTCTCCCCCAAAACCAGTGTTTACTTTTCATGAGCAAACATCATTGGTATACCACGTAAGATAGATCATGATGGCAGCCTATTAACAATATCACTTCACTGGCCAGCATGCAGAGCACTTGCCTACCTGGCTGGGGTTCCTGCATCGGCAGCCCTTCTCTGCTGCTGCACCAGCCTTTTCTCCAGCACTAGGGAGCTTTGAGGCTTCCCTGGATCTGGGGAATATGCCAGCCTTGAAGCTTCCTTTGCTCTTAGCATGTTTCCTGGGAACCTGTTCTGTTTATCGTTGTTCCATGGAAATGAGACAAGCTGCATTAAGCCTGCTGGATCAGTGCTGACTCCTCTAAGGCACACCAGTAGCTGGAGGGTGCCTGTAGGCTCCACATTCCTGGGTTTTACCATTGCCTTGTTTCAGAGAGATGCATGCAGCAGATGAGCTTTACACAAGAGTCTTTGAAATATTTAGTATTTACTTTGGACAGAACAAAATTTATATGGATTCAGCTGAAAAGGAGAAGCCCTGTCTTAGGAATGTCCTTTCTGTTTCCACACCGCTTCGACATGTTGCTTGGATTACATCAAAACACTTCTTAAGGTACCTGTGTTGGGTATGTATGGTCTCTTGTTCCTTCAAAACTGTGTGGCCCTTGAGGTAGCCCTGTGGCAGGGTCTCCTCCCAGGTTGACCTGTTGCTTATCGTTTGTGCAGACAAAGGCCCTCTTCATGTAGGCTATCAGAGTTACAGTGCTGTTATCCTGTGCTACTATTTCACACTGATACATGAAAACAGCAGAGAAACAATCTGAAAGTTTGGTAAATGTGTACAGGCTTACAGATTTATAGGTAGTGCTGTCCTGCTAGTCTTCATTATGCACACTTTTAACTGTTTAATGATCAGAACCTACACATTCCTCTCCTTCCATGAAATAGGATAATGTGAATTTTGGCCTGTTACAGAGCTTCATCAGTTTCAATCAGTTTTTCCCTAATACTGAGGCAATTTGATGAGGTAGAGGTTGACTATGATGTCCTTCACTACTTGTGACAAGACCTGGGGTTTGTGATCTGCTCCTACCAAGTGGTAGCAGTATATTTAAGTGAAGCCTTCAATTGCCCCATAGGGCTGCAAAACACAGTGACTTTGGCACATACACATTCATCCTTGTAAACAAATACAGTTGTGATAAATGTATACACAAATGCCTACTGTGTAATGTCTGGAGAGGGGATCTGTCCTGGTAATATCAATCCACTGGGGTCACTGGGACACAGTTGAGAGAAAGGAAAAACACATCCCTGATCTGGTAGGTTGGTTTCTTTCTGGCTTTGTTAAGAATCTCTGGTAACTGCCCCCACCAGAGACTCCAGTGGGAAAAACAGCAAACATGAAATGCTGTAACATATCAAAAACATAGGAGTAAAAGGTCTGCAAGACTGTGGTAAGAAAGAAACGCAGAAATGGATTGGAGATACAGAGTGAGGGCTACGTGGGTCATTGTATTTAATGGACTCCAGTATTAAGGCTCACAAATACTTCTAACATGCTGGATATGATGGATTATTTTAGGAAGCTATATTGCATTCTCTAAACATGTATCTTCTACATAATTTCTTTAATAAAGGTATGTGCATTAGTTACCATGAATACTGAACAAATAGCTGAGGGAGAGGAAAACTGTAACCAGTGCTTCTTACAAACCGTAAAAATTACATAAACGAACTTTTCAGTCCAGCAGTGTCTGTGTACAGCCATAATTGGCTGCAGTGTCCAATCTTGTGTACTTTGAAAGTATGAGAGGCCACAAAAGCCTTAAGCCATTTTGAAGAAAGATTCCAAGCTATCATAGAGAATTTTTTGCTCAGTTATGAAACCTAAAGGTAACTGTCCAAGGTGAATATTTCTTATATTGGCCCTTGGATTGATCTCTCTTAAAACAAGTTTATCTTTTTCTATGGTAATTTTTAGTGCAGGTGAAGCAAATAAGAGGGAACTAGCTGTAATTTTCCTGATGAGTGAAGTTTTAGATTTAATTATTTTTCAGGAAGATTGAGGGGAAAAACAATAAGAGAGCTCCCTGTTTTCCTGTGATGGGTCCGTTGGCTATTCCTACTCTGTTGTGAGGTTAAGATGTGAAGATTAAAGTTCACCTTCCTGCTTTACCTGAGCTCTTTGCTATATATGGGGAACAGATTTGGAAGAAAATAGCACAAACAAAATTGGCAAATAGTGCAAACGTAACAAAATTTGCTGAGCAGTTTTGGTCTGCTGTGTTAGCTGAGATTATTGGTGCCTTCAGGGCTAATCTCTCTCACTCTTCATAGGTTTGCAGAGGGGGTTAGATAAGTAGCTATGTCAGGTGGTTTTGGGGTTGGTTTTTTTGCCATAGGGCAAATGCTCCTACAAATTATTTCTGGTAATACTCATTGTTCCTGCACAGAAATTCCAATAATGTTTAGCTTGCACAAGCAAGAAAATAGACAGATTGATTAGGCAGGAAAACATGAACTAAGCAGTAAAATACATATTTTGTGATGATTTAGCAGTCAAGAATTTAAGAGGTCACCAAATTCTGTTGTTAAAGATGATGCTAATTCATCAAAGACCTAAACAAGTGTCTAACTTGGGCTTTCCTGGAATTATTCCTGTGTTGATGGCTGCAAAATTATTCATAGTATCAAAGTCTGTGACAGCAAACCTTTTCTTTGTCACGTGTTGTGACCTGAAATTAAACTGCAGACATGCAATATGCAGGACTTGTATATCAAGGATGTGAATTACAAGGAATGAAATCAGAGTGTAAAACTTAATGTGCTCAGATTAGCATGTTAAAACTTTTTTTGTTAGTTACTCACTTGGAAAAGAGGAGGAATAGAGCCTATGGACTAAGCCACTACTTTCATCTAAATAACAACTGAAAGTACTTCTGTGTTCACATGTTATTGTGGATCTTTTAGCAGTTTGCTCAGAAGTTCTTCAGAACATTTTTAACCTACTCAATAGTACGTATGTCAAAAGCTGCCTGAAATATTAAAATGGGTTGGAAATTCACTAATACACTGTTATTTCTAGTCCCTGATACTGGATTCAGTATATTTGGTAGTTTTGCCATGATGGTCTTGTGTTTGGTGTTGAAATTTGAAGACCTTCTAACAGCTGGATATGGGTTGTCACAGGGAGAGCAGAAAGCTTTTATCAGCTTTTTCTTTTGTCAGTTGGGATTGGGTGCGTCATGTTTGGGGACATTAGTCCAGGCAAAGGGAAGTGTCACCTCCTTTCCTGTGTTCTGTGAAGTGAAAGAAAGCTTTTTATCAGGGCAGCAGCAATGTTAAGCTCTTGGATCCTTGTTTTAAAAACTGTTATAATTCAATCTGTCTCTTTCACAACCTGGCTGTCATACTATAAGTAATCAAAGGCTTAAACTTTTCTAGGGTAGATGATTGTAAAAAGCAAATGTTTAGCATCATGCTTCCATATTGCGCCTCAAAGTCATGCAGTTAATTGTGCTATTCACAGCTCGTGCTGTGTGAGCCAGAGAAGCCACCCTGTTGGAACACAGAAAACAGTACTGTGTAACTTCTGTGGGTAATTAACCTGATGGAGACTGTGAGTATTTGCAGCAGACCTTTTACAAGCTGACTGCACATCAAGAATAATCCTCCAGATAATGAGCACATTTGAAAATCTTGCTAACTGTTCGTGGGCAATTTTAAGACAGACGTCAAATGAGTTCAGCAAACATCACACGCCAACTGCAGTATTTTGCCAATATTTTGAAACACTGCTGTCTCTGCTGAGATGTTGTTGATATTTTTCTTTCAAGAAAGCCCATCCTATCTAAGTGCAGTTGCTTTAATGTAATTAGATCACAGTGAACGCACATGATAGAAACCCCAGCTGTTGAAGCCTGGCCACAGTTGTAATCCACACCATGTTGGTATCTACTCCTGAGAATATAAGATAGGTGCTGAGCGGAGGCAGTCAGGATGCTGAGCCCCGGGGATGACCCTGGGTGAGAAGCTGAGGGAGGCTGCAGCTGCTTGCCCTGACACCCAGGAGCCTATTAGGCAGAGCACAACTGAGTCAAATTAATGCTGTGCATCTCTGCCAA